CCTCTCTCTAGTTTAGAAATCAAGGTACTTCCTTTTTCCTTTTGTTCTTGTTTACTACTTTACCTCGATATCTCCGTCTGCTGTTTGTTCTTCATTTTCCTTTTATTAAGGCAACAGGTGATGAGTTTTTTTTCCTTGTGTTTTTGATTTCTTGTTCTTGATAAAAGACGGACCTTTGGATCAACTTTCGACCCTTTTTAGATCAGGGCTAGATCTTGCTATTCTGTGTTCTGGGTTTTCTTTTTCTTTAAAAAATAATAATATTTATGTTTGCTTCTTGATTCTTCCTTTTCTAATGTTTCTTTTTATTACATGACCTCTGATTTTAAGGTGGCTGATGCTTTGGTTTTAGTTTGTCTGAAATCTGAAATAATTGTTGCAGAAATATATTATGCCGTCCTTGTCTTGTACTTTTTATTTGAGATCCATTTGCTATTTCCCTGCATATGATGAAGTTGATTAAGATTGGTTGCTTAGCAGAATCTTGAATCTTTGGGGGTATTTTTGTCTTTTTTATTTGCGATTGTATTTTTGTTGTTTTTTCTTTCTAATGGAGCTTCGAGTGAAGGGCAATTTTGCTTGCACTTCTCATAATGCTCCGAATATTTATTCGCTTCGTTGCTATTTAAATCGATGGCCATTGTGTTTCCATCATTGTGGCCATTTGCAGCATGCAGCACATATATTTATATATATATATCACATGTAATGCTGTTTTTATAGTTACACCACCGAATTAAGCACGAAAGTAACATTAGTCTTCTTTTCTATTTTTTATATAGGAGAAGAAAATGGCAACCGCAAGACTTCCGACAATTTGCATGTTCGGAAACGCCCCACAAGCCCGAACCAAAACCAATTTCCTAAAAAGCCCGTCTTCGTTGGGCTCTTTAAAGAGCGCAACAAAAGCATTGGGCTTGAAATCGAAGCCCGATTTTCGAGCATGTGCAATGGCATGTTACAAGGTGAAATTGGTGGGGCCCGACGGAACCGAGACAGAGTTCGACGCACCGGATGATGCATACATTCTCGACTCGGCCGAAGAAGCCGGGCTCGAACTGCCCTACTCGTGCAGGGCAGGTGCTTGCTCCACTTGTGCGGGCAAGATTATCACGGGTGAGGTGGACCAATCGGATGGCTCGTTTCTTGATGACAACCAAATGAAAGAGGGGTACTTACTTACGTGTGTTTCTTACCCTACTTCGGATTGTGTGATTCACACACACAAGGAGACCGATCTTTATTGAGCAAATTGTGTTATTTTTAGGAAAGTCGACGCCCCGTTGAATGTGTTCGTATTGTGTTAGAAGGTTTGTGTTTGTCTTGAGAGTTGAGGAAAGACCACAATTCAGTGTGATCTTTTTTTTATTTGCAAATTTGCCTATATGACTACATATTTATTTTATGCTATTATGCAGGGTTTGCTTTGGGTGATCTTAGTTTCAAATTAATTATATTTGTTTTTTCTGTATTTATTAATTTGGTATAAATAATAAACAATCAAATTTGGGAACTATAGAATTATAAACTTGATGAAATCAAATCAAGTTGCTTATTACTAGACCTAATATCGATTGTTAAAAGATCGTTATAACCACTAGTAGAAAAATGGTTTTTTAATACAACCATTCACCGTAGCAAAAGATCGTTACGAATGTATGTATAAAAAAATGAAGTTACATGAAGTGTTTGTCGAATGTTTATCGGGTTCGACTTGTTTGCTTGTCTAATTAAATACATACGTAACTTTTGAAGCTCGATATGATTTAAATAACTTTGAACAAGCTTGCATTTCGCGTCAACTCAATTCGTTTATAGTAATAATAATAATACAAAAAAAAACTATAAAAGTTGGAAATTGTTTATTTCATTTTTTTTTTCTTCATATATATTCAGCTTTTGAAAAGGCAGAAGAAGGTGGCATTTTACCAGAAAATAGAGAATGACGGTGGAAAACAAACTTGAGTAGGCCCAAAGAACATTGGACGAATAAGAATAAAGGCCCATATTTTGGGCCCACAATAAAAGTTGTTATTTATTTATGTCCTTATTTGCAATATAAATAAATAACTCTTGCAATACATACGTAAATACTTTGATTAAAGAACAATGTTGCATTGCAGCTACTTAATTATGTTCACACTGTACCTCATCTACTGTCTCAATATAATACAAAATTATTACACACACACACACATATATATGTGTATATATATATATATATATATATATAGAGAGAGAGAGAGAGAGAGAGAGAGAGAGAGACATCTTAAACAATAATCCGTGGTGGGTGAGGCTGAGAGTTAACAGAAGTGGGATATGGCCATGGCCTCCCTTTTCCGGTTTCTTCTCCTCCTCCACGTCATCTCTTCAGGTACTTCTTCTTCCCTCTTTTTCCTGTGTGTGTGTGTGTGTGTGATGTTCATGTTAGTATTGATGATTACTTCAATTCCAATTTGTAGTGTTTCTTTTTTTCATGTAAGTGTAGCCAAATTTATTTGTTGTCCCTTTTCTTGATTTTTGACACACACCTTTGTTGTATCCAGGATCATTTCAAATCGCAGTCGGAATCGGAATCGGAATCAACTACGGCCAACTGGCCAACAATCTCCCGCCCCCGTCCGACGTACTCTCTCTCCTCAAAACCCTCAAAGTAACCCGAGTCAAGCTCTACAACACCGATTCCGACACCCTAACCGCATTCGCAAACACCGGAATCGAATTCATGGTCGGCGTCCGAAACGAGGACCTCCAAAGAATATCCGACCCCACCCAAGCCCAATTATGGGTACAACAAAACATCCGGCCCCACACCCCGCAAACCAAGATCACCTCCATCTCCGTCGGTAACGAAATCCTCGGCTCCAGCAACAATCAATACGCCCCGTTTCTTCTCCCCGCCATGCAAGCCATAAGTGGGGCCCTCACTAACCTCGGCTTGAGCGATGACATATACGTGACGTCAGCACATTCGTACGTCATCCTGGAGAACTCCTACCCGCCTTCTTCCGGATCCTTCAAGCAAAACCTCGTTGGATATATAAAAGGAATTCTTGATTTCCACTCGAGGACGAATTCGTCTTTTCTCATAAACGCTTACCCGTTTTTCGCTTACAAAGCTAATCCAGCGCAAATACCCCTCAACTACTCGATTTTCGAGCCCAGCAAGGGTACGACGGACAACGTCACCAATTTGCACTACGATAACATGTTGTACGCGCAAATCGACGCGGTTTACTCCGCAATGAAATTGTTGGGGCATACGGATGTTAGGGTTAGGGTTTCCGAGACCGGGTGCCCGTCCAAAGGGGAGCCGGACGAGGTGGGGGCCACTCCGGAGAACGCGAGGTTGTACAACGGGAATTTGTTGAAGCGGATGGAGAAAGATCGAGGCACTCCCGCGAATCCGGATAAGCCGATCGATATTTACATTTTTGCCCTTTTCAACGAGAATCTGAAGCCCGGCCCCATCTCCGAACGGAACTACGGATTGTTGTACCCCAACGGAACTCCCGTGTACGAAATAGGGTTGCGTGACGATGGCTCCCACGGTTATGTTCTTCCGCAGATGGAGTACTCGTCTTCGACTAAAAATGTAAGAGAAATTTTTCTATCGTTCAATTCGTTCGTGGCTTATTACGAGCATTTGTCTCGTGGAAAATTTACGAATCATCTAATCGTTCTTTTTACTTGCTTTACAGGTCATGTTCTTCTCAAATGTGTTTCTTCTTTTATTGATGTGTTCTTTATAGGTAAGGAATTTTATTGAATTCTTGAAATTTCTCATTTTCACATAAGGGTGTGTTTGGGAGGTAATTGTTTTCTAAATTAAGGGCTACTGCATGAAATTTATTACAGATAAGAAACAACAATTGACTGAAAGATTGACCACCTAATTTCGTAGGATACCTAATTTTCATTGATTGCCTTAAATCTTAATTAGTAGTGGAGAATGGTAAGAAGTCTCCATCATATCTTAATGCATTTGAATTTTACTGTCATTGGATCCCTATCTTCTTCAAGACAAAAGTCCTTTTTGCCCCTTATCAAGAAAGAATAGTTCATCCCAGTCCCATATTCATTTCTGTATTATTATTCTTGCATATATTCTTTCATTGCTTTTAGATCTTTTCAAGATCTTTGCATCATCAGCTTTTGTATACAACTGTTAAAACTTTGTCCATTTTTAGGTATCAGACAATTACCTTAAAACCATAATTAATTTTATATCGTTTTATATGACTCTCGACTATTTCACGAGGTCGGTCGATCTTTCGTATTTGCAGGCGGAGAAACATTAGAGAGTTGCGTACTCGGTGATTCAGATCAACTTTCGTTGAATAGTTTAGTAATAATGCAGAGGAAATAAACATGTCTTTGTCTAACCATTTTTTTAGTAAATTAAAGTTCTTAAGTTTAAATTTTCATTTCTGATAAATTCCTCCATAAATATAATAAAAATTGATTTTTTTTTCCAACTGACAAATTACTGGTTATGCCCTTGAACAAGTCATAGTCCAATATTTAAACCACTCCATTTATAAATAAGAAAAGGACATTAAAATTAAATCAGGCAGGCTGTTGGTCTGAGGCAGAGGACAACTACTTGTCCCACAAACAGACATTCAAATGAATCTATGTCCAAATTCATGAAAATGTAAGCAACTATACAAGAGATTATCGAAGACAAAAAACGCAAGAGACCGTTTTACTTGACATTTTCCACTATTTTACTCGTTTTCTATTATCCAATCATAGCCTAAAGTTTTTTATGCATGTTCTATAAATGGGGATGAAATACATTCGAGATGAAATATAGCTTCTCGGTGATATTTATCGATATGCACACGACAACATTAATATACGGTAACACAACACTAACGTACAAATGACACTCTTTTACATGTACAGCGCTTTTTTTTGGGGGGGGGGGGGGAAAGCTCACACTACACAAAAGCCAAATCAAGAAAAACGGGACTATATATAAGCGACGACGGCTAGTCAGAAACAATGAAAGGAATTACCATGGACATGAACGTTTCATACGACAGTGTTGCTGAACCTGTGTATCGTGAATCCTTCTCCTTGAATTTTTCGGTCAAACCCTGAAAATCGAAAAATAAATGTTTCAAAAAGGTCCCAACTTTGGGAAATTAAAAAAAATAAAAAAAATCCATGGTTATTGATTCAATGCAGATGTTTGCTCACCTTTACAATCATCCCACACCTGAATAAAAAATAATAAAATATCATTAAAGGTACAGCTCGAGTAAAAAAAAAAAAACAATTTTATTTTATTACGTAAATATTAAGAACAGAGGCTTACTCGACAAAACTGTCGAAATTGAGATCTACCCTACGCCCGGTGCCATCTTCGTATCTGGAAAGAAGAACTTGAAGTACAGAAGGTGGTAAAGCATATCCAAGGCTATACAGAGCATCCCTCAATTCCGCAGAATCAATGTTCCCGCTTCGGTCTCTATCGAATCTGTCAAACATGGCCTATATATAGTGACGAATTCAGTATAATTGAATTGATTGATTTAATCACGAAACTTTTTTTACACACTTACATCACATAAAACACTAAGCATCTAGATTCAACGTTTCATCAGTGCTTATATTTTCTTCGATTTTTTTTCCCTCTATAATCAAAGTTCTACTTCATTTTTATTTCTCTGACGTCCTCTATAACGAAATCGAAGAAATAGATACACTGTATAACAACGTATTTGCCGGAGTGC